CCGGTGGAGGGATCGCACACAGACGACTGGCGCGGCGTGAGTCTGTGCCTAGGCGTGCCAACAGACTTTACCAGATTTGCCTGCCGTGTCTTGATCCGATGCCGTACTAGTCCAGGGCATATACCGCATAGACTGTTGTAGAGCAGGCTCCTACTCACTAATGACATACTAAGGACTTTATAAAGAAAATACTTCTTCCCGGATCTGACTATGAGAAATTTCAAATAATATCAACGCACGTTCTGACACCCACGTCTTCGAGCGCCAATTGATACACTTTCTGTTGTAAAGAAGAAGGTTCTTCACAACAAGAACCTGGGAGAACGTATATTTGCTTCTAGTCATGACACTTCCTGTTGTACTGCAGCTGGCTTGTCTGATTTAGGTTATGTTTCAACGGACATTCCACACAATGAATTCGATTTGAGAAATTTACAAATTAATAACTCGTAGTGCGAGGTTCTCCAAATAGTATTTCCGGGGGCGGCAATTTCCGCAAAATTACAGGTGCATAAAGAGCCAGTTAAAGCAGGGTTAACGTACTCCAATTGGCCCTCGACAGACATGTCTATGGTGTTTTCGGCCGAAACTTCAGTATTTCCGGCCGCGAGGAATCCAGCGTACATACTGGTAACCAGATGTCGGGCCTCGGAAGCCCGATCAATCACGCTGTCCAGGGTTTCCTTTAAGCCGATTAACGAATCGGGCTGAAAAAAAGAAGAGGCAAATGAGGAGATTTAGCCATGTGAGGTCACTTTCGACTGCAAAAACGGGCCGGCGACTAAGAGGTCCAGTTTATTGGTCAGATGGAGGGAGAGGGGGGAATGACATTGTTTGAGCAACCGTTACCTTGAGGGGCACAAAGAACTATCTGTGCAAAGAACAACCAAAAAGTAACAAGCGCAATTAACACTTCTGCTATGAATTTGGGTATTGTAGAAGGAAATGCCTGATTCTGAAGAGTAGTTGGTGAGCGTACGTAGGCTTTCGATAAATTATCAGATGAGAATTCACCGCCAATTACTCTTCTGAATTCTCTGATGGGAATTTTTGTATACTATTGATTGTCTACAAAAGGCACAGTTTATCGCGCAATTTTCCATGATGCTGCCGAAACTTGTCGTGATCGGATTGCGTCACCCAGTTCAATGGGAGCACGGTAACGTGGGAATCACAGCAGACGCGTCTTCGTCGCGTTCCCACCCGCCCTCACGGCGGCCAAAGTCTGCTACACCAATTTCGCTACGGTGGCTCTATCTTTCCTTCTCTCCGTCTGTGTTTTTGATGACGGAACAACCCTTCCCGGCCACGCTGCTCCTGATCCAACAAGGGCTACTAGCCAGCCATCCAGT